GACAGGCAGTACAATGCCAGAAAGAGGAATGTGCGACTACTTTGCTAAAACACGGCGCTGACCCAGATCTTCCAGATGTCTATGGCAATACTGCCCTACATTATGCTGTCTGCAATGAGGATATCCCGATGACAAAAAAACTGCTTTTGCATCATGCCAATATTGGATTAGCGAACAAGGTATCGATTAACCAACTTTATTTTCAAAATATTTGAAATGCATTGGTTGCATTGACTGATGTATGACTCAGTTTTTCATGTTTGGAAGCTCCGACATAACCTAAATAAAAATATTTGGAAATAATTATAAAACTTTAAATATTGATACTTTTAAAGATGCATTAGAGGGTACATCTTTTTTATGTATGGTAAACAATTTTGAAAACACCGAATTTGTAAAAGGTAATGCTTTTTAATTTTTTTCTCCCAGGTTTTTTTTTTCTAATTAGTATATAATAATCCTGGAAAGTAGAATTTGTACTGGAATTAGGCTTTATCTTAAAGTGCCAAGAAAACTAAAACATTTTAAATAAACAAAAATCTTGATGCTCGTGACAAGCTCCTTCATAGAGTAATATATGTGAAAACGATTTGACTCTCAGTGGTGGGGCTTAAGAGGGAAAAATGGAAAGGGAAAGGAAAGCAATCAGAAATATGCAGGCCACTTTGGAAATTAGGTAATTGAGGGAAAAGACCAAGAAGATTTTTTGTTGTTTTTTGCTTTTGTTTGCTTCTTTGTTTCCGGTTTATGTGTCTAGACAAGATTCTTTTCAGTTTTGGGGATTATAGTTTTCAGTTTGGGAGACAGTTAATGAGTTGTACACTTGTCTAGAGATCAATTTTAGGAGGACTGTGAGGAAACAAGATTGTCTGTGAATAGTTGGTGATGAAGTGGGAAACCTTTAAGCAAGTAATTAACTGACTTATCCTATTCTGGCAGAAACAACCACTTAGATAAACGTCTAAACTCTGTTCTCAAATCTAGACTGTCTTGAGGGTAAGGTGGGAGATAAGGAGTTTATATATAGCAAAGTCAAGTTGGATTTTGAGTTTACTAGCCCCTATTCTTCTTCTACCCAAACAAATTGCGTAGAGTTTTCAGTAAATAACTCTCTCTTACCCTTTCCTCTTTTTGGCCAAATCCTCAAAGAAAAAGGTAATTTGTCATGTGGTGAGACATGATGGAAGTAATTGTCGATTGGACTTGGTCTCAGCTAGAATTGTGCATAATCGTAACCTAGGGAAATTAAAAAAAATCTACAAAGCTAACCTCTCCTCTGACGATTTTGATATAGTAAATCTAATAAAGTCTAGACACGTATGTTTAAAAATATTTCTTTGGAGCCAGGCGTGGTGAGACATGGCTGCAGTCCCAGCCACTCAGGAGGCTGAGGTAGGGGTATTGCTTGAGCCCAGGAGTTTAAATCTAACCTGGTCAACGTAGTAAGACCCCATCTCTGACTAAGTAACAGCAAGTTCCTCAGAATTCTGATACATGCCTGGTTAAGAATCACTAAATAGATAAGTGTAATATATAAATTACTATCTCCCAAAACTCTTCTAGAGTTTAGAAATCTCTAGAAAAGTAGGCATTTGATAGGTACTACTTTTGATTTCTCCTTTTCAATAATATTAGCCCATTTTTCTTTACCTTTGTGGTTGTGAAGCTAAAAGAAATATTATTGGCAATAGATAGCACATTTTCCTTCCCACCATTAGCTATTCACTACCATTCAGAGAGTCTTTATAAATTTGCTCTGGGTAGTCTTTCTTTTTTTAAATTTTTTTTGAGACAGGATCTTGCTCTGTCACCTAGGCTGGACTGCAGTGGCACAATCACAGCTCAGTGCAGCCTCAACCTCCTGGAGCTCAAGTGATCCTCCTACCTTAGCCTCCTGAGTAACTGAGACTACAGACATGTACCATCATGCCAAGCCAATTTTTAATTTTTTTGTAAATACAGGGTTTCACTATGTTGCCCAGGCTGGCCTCAAACTCTGGGCTCAAAGAGTCCCACGTCAGCTTCCAAAAGTGCTGGGATTACAGATATAAGCTACTGCACTCAGCCTGGGAAGTATTTCACTAAGTGGAGGCTGACCCCTTCAGGACTTCACATCTCTTTGTTAACCTTCATGTGATTAGGTCAATGAATCTTTATTACCAGTGGAGTTTCCTCAATTAGAATTGTAGCAAATTCTAAACCTTTTTTTCATTGAAGCTGTATTATGGGCTATATCATTGTGTCTGTTCATAGAGTTTAGGCATAATCAGGATGACAGTTTTAAACCCTGAAAACTATGAAGTTACTAAGAGCACATATAGAAATTCTTTTGATAATTTAGTTTCATCATTCCTATGAACTAAATATTTGGTTAACAATCTCAGAAAACTACTTACTAATATATTTTAAATGAATAAATGTTATAAATATTGAAATGGGTACTGTGAATCTTAGAAGCAAATTTTATTACATGCTGGGGATGGCTTTTTGGTGAAACATCCAAAACCAAAGAAAGAAAATAGTTTACATGCAAATACTTGCTTTATGCACAACCATGTGGTAACATATCCACGACAAGTTAAAAAATGTAAGGGCTACGGTCTAAATGTGGCCCATAGGTATGTTTCACTTGCCTTCATAAATTGTGTCAACATGTAAAATTTAGGAGATGAATACATAAATCTGGATTTTAGGCTCCTCTTAAGCATTAAATCTGGTGTCCTGTGGGCTCACATCACTGTTTGGTCTGTTGAGCAGAGGTTGCCCCTTTCTATGAGGCCTGTGTTCTCTAGTTTGCCGTGGTGCCCATCTAGGCACCTCACTTAGGCCTCCCCCTTTGCCCTTGTAAGCATTTGACAACTCTCATCTTATAGTATATTTTGATAAAGATGTCAAGGCTTTCAAGACAGTTTCTATTTGTTTACAATATATAATCTATATTTTATATAAATTCCTTAGCATTGGGGTTGAATTCCAAAATTTAGAAGTTTTTAAAAAACTGTATTCTTTTTATTTATGCTACATATTCTTTATATTTAATGTAAGATAACTCTTATTCTTTATATTTGCCATAAATAAGCACCTTCTCATTAGCATGCCTGTAAGTCCTTCTAGCTGGATGTGTTATGCATATTGCAGACAACATTATATCTTTCTCCTCAGCATCATTCCTTAGAAATGCAAGTGATTTAGTGACTTCCATCATGATAGGGATAGATAGATCAGTAGGAGAACTTAATGATAAGCCATTGTATTTTTATTTCTGATTCATATTTTTTTCTAAAATAAAATGTAAAAAAAAGTGCTGGGATTACAGGCATAAGCCACCGCCCCAGCCAAAACTGAATTTTAAAAGTAGATATGAGGATGGGCGTGGCGACTCATGCTGTAATCCCAGGACTTTGGGAGGCCGAGGTGGATGGATCACCTGAAGTCAGGAGTTCTAGACCAGCCTGACCAGCATGGTGAAACCTCGTCTCTACTAAAAATACAAAATTAGCCAGGCGTGGTGGCGCATGCCAGTAGTGCCAGCTACTTGGGAAGGTGAGACAGGAGAATTACTTGAACCCCGGGAGTCAGAGATTACAGTGGGCCAAGATCCTATCATTGCATTCCAGCCTGGGTGACAGAGCGAGGCTCCATCTCAAAAAATAAAAAATAAAAAAGAAATAAAGGCTGGACGCAGTGGCTCACGCCTGTAATCCCAGCACTTTGGGATGTCAAGGTAGGCAGATCACCTGAAGTCAGGAGTTTGAGACCAAACTGGCCAACATGTTGAAACCCCGTCTTTACTAAAAATAAAAAATTAGCTGGGTGTGGTGGCAGGCACCTGTAATCCCAGCTACTTGGGAGGCTGAGGCAGGAGAATTGCTTGAACATTGGAGGCAGAGGTTGCAGTGAACTGAGATCATGCCATTGCACTCCAGCCTGGGTGACAGAGCCAGACTCCATCTCAGAAAAAAAAAAAATTAAAATAAGTAGATAACGCATTAGGGTCCTAGGATTAGAATGATAATTGAGAATAACATTTTATACAGATGTTTCTAATGGCTAAAATAAAAATCTATTATCTTTAAAAAGGAGAAAACTCATGGAGCATTTACTAATAAGCAGTGGAAGTTCATTTGAAGCTGATTTAATTCACAGACCATTTTCTTAATTACTCATTTGCAGCAGGAATGCCTGACATTGGCATCTGGGATTCTGACACCATTGACAGAAGAGAAGCAAGTGAGTTTGTATATAACCTGGAGGAAACCTCCACCTTACTGGAAAGCTCTCACAGCTGTAGCCCTGAAATGCTGATTTCTCAAATGCCAATGTTTGCCACAAAACAGTGTTGTCTAAATGGGATTAGGCAAAGTGTAAGAGATTTCTTGTCTACCGTACATATAATGCACAGTTCTGTACCATTTCTCAAACATCCATGATCATGGAATCCTTCTGTTGGAGTACAGTCTTTAACATCTGGCAAAGTAAACATTCTTTGGAATGCAGTGTAAGAAACACTGCTCTAGAGGCAGTAATTTAGATCATTAGTGAAAACGCTTGAAGCATTTACTAATATTTCTTAAGATTTGGGAACATAGATATAGAAGGTAAAGCCCCTGCTCTCAAGAAGCTCTTGGTTTACATGAAAAATAGTAAAATCATTGCAATATACTGTACTAAGTGCTGTGACAGAAGCAAAGATGATTGGAACTGGTATTGAAGTGAGTTTTGGAGGTGACCAGATTTCAGTGATGAGGGGGATGAGGTTTTTCCACAGGAAGGAACAGCAAATGGGAAAGCACAGAAGAATAAAAAGGAAGGGACTACTTATTATTTAATTTCTATATTATATGTTTAAGTCTGTAGGATCTTGCATAAAGATAAGGCTTCCAGTACAGATGAGAGGTATGTAATTTCGTGAGTTATCGGTTCTTCTTGCTGTTTTACAGGATGAAGTCACACCATTTTTACTAGCTGTACATGAAGCAAAACAGGAAATGATGGAATTTTTAATAAAGCGAGAAGAAAATTTAACTGCAGTTAAGTCTGAAAGGTACAGTAATTAGTTTTTTTTAAAAAAGCTGGCTGATATTCTATAGTGATAACAGTCTCTAGTTAGAAATATTAGATTAATAAGATTAACATAATTATTGTGATACAGTAAAAAATATCAACACAAATTATTGGTTAAGTAGAAAAACTAGGCTGGGCAACATAGAGAACAGTATATAGTAGGATTCATCTTTTCTTATTATATTGACTGGTGTTTGTTATTTGTAATGTGATGTTTTTGGTCATATGATCTGACCAAAGGGTTTTGGTATTGGTTTTATTAGTTTTATGAAATGTGGATTTTAACTTTTAGTATACTTTAAGACTTAATAAATATTGAACTTCTTAACCCTTTCATAGTAGTTTTTTTAACCTCTGTTTCTTATATGCTCTTCCTTTAAACATGCTGTATTAGACATAAATAGGCATTGAAAATCATTTTTTCTTCTAGATGACTTTTTAAGTTGCTTCCTTTGAAAAATAGTAATGTTAAGTTGTTCCTACATGGCTGTTAATTGCTGTTACCAGGTACTTTGGGTTCATTGGTTTTCTTCTATTTCATTTCTAGTATATTTTGATGTTATTATTATTATTATTTTATTGTAGGCAGAGTCTCGCTCTGTCACCCCAGGCTGGAGTGCAGTGGCACAATTTGGCCCACTACACCCTCTGCCTCCCGAGTTCAAATGATTCTCCTGCTTCAGCCTCCCAAACAGCTGGGACTACAGGCATGCACCACCATGCCCAGCTAATTTTTTGTATTTTTAGTAGAGACGGGGTTTCATCATGTTGAACAGTATGGTCTCGATCTCCTGACCTCGTGATCTGCCCTCCTTGGCCTCCCAAAGCACTGGGATTACTGGCTTGAGCCACTGTTCCTAGCTCTGATGATTTTATTTGTAATTGCTATGGGAAGAGGGAGAAAATATAGCTTTAAATGAATAGCCTTTTCTTCTAAGGAAGACAAGCCATAGGTGGGTAATAAAGAGAAAAGAGCTAGGCTTTAGTTTCACACAAGACTGGGTTTAAGTCCTAGCTCTCTCTCTTCTTAGGTATGTGAGCTGGAAACATTACTTATCACTAAATATGTTTTTCTATATGAAAAGGAGGATAATATATATCCTTCAAGGGTGATTGTGTGGAAGAAAGATTATATATATATATGTATGTATTTGTAGCATTTAATTCAGTGCCTAGCACATGTGTTTAGGCATCATCAACTGAAACTACTGTGATTACTACCATTATTATCGTTTCCTGCCTGCAGACAGCTCTTACTTATCTGACCCCTAGCTGGTTTTGAATTACAACATATCTGTCTTTAAATCTTTGCTTACATTAGATAAGTGACCTCAGCATAGTTTCTTGCTCATCAAAGAACTTTAAGTTAGCAACTTCTATGACATAATACCCTACTGAGACAAGAGGCTTCCTTTTTGTCCCCCCTCCTTTTTTTAGCATTGGTGGTAATTTATGAAGATGAACACTTAGGCACCCAAGATGCTTATGTTTGTTAGTACATGTAAATGTTTAATTCTACATGAACAGGCAAGATATTAAATTGGCAAAGAATATCAAATTAGCTTTTTAAATACTTTTCTTAAAGTTCCTAAGAAAGAAGTTATCTCTCTGGTATTTTCGAACAGCCCTCGTTCTTGCTGTACATTGCACATCAGCAAGTATAGTCAGCCTTCTTCAGCAAAATGCTGATGTGTTTTCTCAAGATCTGTCTGGATGGACTGCAGAAAATTATGTCATTTCTAGTCCTTTTACTAGGCAAGTTTTTACATTAGAAGGCTAGCTTACACTAAACTGCAGCTTAAAATAATTATAGCTATTGTATCCTATATATCAGGTGAGATTTTATAGTTTAATTCAGGTCATCTTGTGGTGACAGTCCACTTTATCAGCCAGAAATCAGGCAAAACGCTACTAGACTGGTTAGAAGTATCAATGGGTGCAGAATTCTTTATCTCAGGACTTTTGAGATCTTTGTCTTAGAGATCCAGTCATTGCCCCATTTACTCCAAGTATAGCCACATGCACAGGATAAAAATAGTGCCACATCTCTGGTTTTTCTAATTAGTTATTTGGGTCTTAAAATGTTCAGTTTAGCAGAAAATCTTGTACTGTCTTCTGAGGGCTGTCTCTTATACCTTCCTCCTTGAATTTTTCAAGAACCTAAGGGGTTTCCTAAGTACAATAAGAAAAAAAAGAAAAAAAATAGACAATTCTTTACCAGTGAGAAGGAAGGGAAGAAAACAACATTGTAAACCATTCTATTGTTTCCATTGATTCTTTTCCTGCATTATTGCCATGGAAAATGGTTCTACAGTCTGTTAATGCTTGACTTTTCCATCAGGATTCACTTACTGCTTCAGAGTACTCAGGTTTCATGGTGATTCATACATAGACTTTATAGTTACAACTTTTTTTAGTTAACAAATATGTATGCTCAGCCGTTATTCCCAAAGCATCCTGCTCCGACAGCTGGGCATTCTAGCTTTAGCCACACACGTGGTGAGAAAATTGACCAAACTTCTTCCACATTCAAAACCTTATGTGGAGCCCCCATCTTAGCCTAGACATAGCCCAGGACTTCATGGTAAGTTATCCTTGGAGGCCTTGTTAGTCTTTTCTCTATCAAATATTAGTTGAGATTGTTCTAAACTGTCAAAGAGGATCAAATTATGTTGCAGAAAGAGATCAGTGTTTTCTTACTCCATTGTACCCTGAGGCTCCTTTATATCCCGTTTAGCACATTTTCTTAGGAGTGGAAGGTTCTATATTATCCTTCCCCACAGCTTGGGTGCCAATTTGTGGGGTTTTTTTCTTTTCTTTTCTTTTTCTTTTTTTTTTTTTTTCCAATTTGTAGTTTTATCCTCAAGTAATCTGTTTTCCACAATAGTGAAAATCTCCCAAGTTCTTTGCATTTCTACCTTAAGTTTTAAAAATATTTTCATATTCTACCTCACAGGAAGCCATTCAACAGAATTCTCTGAATCTCAAGTAGGTTTATTGGGTTTATCAGAGCTAAGCCTCATCCATGACTGATGAGTATTCACGTATAATGTAGGGTTTTATGCTTACTTCAGCAGCTCACATACTAATACTGGAATAATACAGAAAAATTAACATGGCTCCTGCATAAGGATGACACACAAATTCATGAGGTGGTTCATATTTTGTGCAGTTCCTGGAAGGTCCTTTGACAATTTTCTGATTAGCTCCAAGGAAACAGGATGAGTCAAAGCAAAATGGCTGGCACACTTAATAGTGAAATTGTGATCTTCACTACCAAAATATTCACATAGAGTGATCTATGGAATGAGAATGGAGCTGAGTAAAGCATGGGGATGTTGTGTGCAAATATATTATTAGTATGTATCTCAGAAATGAGAAAATGTCACCTTGCATCTCCTTCATGGAACTTAAAAAAATAGTTTTATCTTTTGTGTCAAACGGAGGTAAACATGGAGATTAAGCATCATTCTACAAAGATCTACTGGCTCGGAGTTTGAGTCTGTAAAGTAGAATCATAGTCCAAGGCAGGTCTTGATATCCATTAGTTTTCTGCCCTTGCTGTGATTGATGAGCTCAGTAACAGTGGACAATTATGTTATCTAATTAATGAGATAATATGTTTGTAAATAAATGTAGTTACAAACTATGAAATATATGAGATGCCCTAAATTAAAAGCCACAAAGAGTAGAACACCTAATAGACAAAGTTAGGATTTAATAACATTTCCCCAAAAACACAATGTTTCAATATTAGAACATATAAAAAACACATTGGACTTTATTTGCAGTTCCAAGACAGTTTCACCAATAAAGTTCAAGAACAAATTATTTCATTGCTTCACTATTTTTCTGAGCATTCAAAACATGTTATCTCATTAAATTTTTATAACAACCTAGTGAAACAAGACAATAAAAGTCTCACTTTTTAGAAGAAGACATTGAACCTAACAAAAGCAACTTACCCAAGAACTGATAGCTTTTGACTATAGAGCTAGGACTTTTTCTGAGTTAGGATGCTTTCCCTTATGTCAGGCTAATGCAAGTTAATGTACTGAACTATATTCATGGGTACTTCATCTTACTTTTTTTCTTCTTTAATTAGAAGCTTAAAGAGAAGTTTGTAGAGCTTACAAATGAGAAGTATATGGGATAATTAAAGTTCTAAAATTAACACCAATATTATTTGAAATACTCTAAGAATTTAATATATTTGGTAATTGTTTTTATATCAGTTTTAAAATAGTAATTTTACTTATTGCATTTTTAGACATAGCATTCACCAACTAATGTCTGAATACAAAGAAAATAATACAGCTGGAAATCCTCAAAATAGCAATCCAGGTAAGACTTCCAGGTAAATTACTCTTGGTGGTCTTACCATAGATTAACAAATAAGAGTAAGGAAGTTTTAATTACCAAAGAGCAGCTTAAAAACTCACTATGTAAATTGCATAGTATACATATATGTATGTGTGTTTTAAGTTTCTTCTTAGTAGGTTAGATTTCAGAATTATTAAGAAAGTTATGTGTAGATAATTCATAATCTCAAACAGTATTATCTGAAAGGAATCATTTCTTTAATTGTAGTCCCTAAAATCTACAATTAGATATTTTTTGTATAAATAAGAAAAAAGATTTTTAAGTTAGTATGTGGTATGTTTTATTTATAGTCTCATTATAACAAATGGAATGTGTTAATGAAATTGGAGCGTCTATTTAATTTTTAAAATAAATGGTTTTTGTTTAGTAAATAAATATCAATTACAGTTGACCTTTGAACAACATAGGATTTAGGGGTACTGATCCCCTGTGCAGCTGAAAATATGTGTATAACTTTTGACTTCCCCCCAAATTAGCTACTAATAGGTGACTATTGACCAAAAACAGTCAGTTAAGACATTTGGTATGTTACATGTGTTACCATATTATATTCTTATAAGAAAGTGAGGTAGATAAAAATGGTTATTAACAAAATCATAGGGAATAAAAATATATTTACTATTTATTAAGTGGAAGTGGAAGTAGGTCATCCTCATCCTCTCCAAGTTGAGTAGGCTGAGAAGAAGGAGGAAGAAGATTGGTCCTGCTGTCTCAGGTGGTAGAGGTAGAAGAAAATCTGCATATAATTACACCGCTGCAGGTCAAGTTCCTGTTATTCAAAGGTCGACTGTATTACATAGTGATTTATGTCACACCAAAAAAGTAACTTTTTAAAACTGGGAACTCAACAATACCTTTTTGGTAACATAAACAAATGTCACTAAGAACCGAAAAACTTATCCAGTGGGCACTAATACTAATAGAAGATTGTTTTTTAAAGATACCAAGTGTAGAAGTCAGAAAAGGAATTTCTTGTTGAAAACGTATTGACTTCGTTCTTCCTAATTTGAAATTGAATGAGATACATTTACTTCATTAAAACAAGATCCACTAGTTAATTGTTATGATAGCAGTAATTTTGTTAGAACAAAATTCTCTGTTACTAGTAGCCCAAAGGTTATTGTAATGAATACCCAATGGCCAAACTCTAGGCTCAACAAATTATAATAAAAGTGCTTCACAATAACAAAAATGCTGCTATGCTACCTAGATGTGACACCTAATACATTGTACAGTCTGAACTGTATGAGGACACTTTTAATTTAGTACATATTAATCAAATAACTTTTATAAGTTAGATTTTGCAAGCCACAGGTGACAAACACATAGTCTTGGTCTTTTTGTTTTTTTTTTTTTTTGAGATGAAGTCTTACTCTGTCGCCCAGGCTGGAGTGCAGTGGCGCAATCTCGGCTCACCACAACCTCCACCTCCCGGGTCCAGGTGATTCTCCTGCCTCAGCCTCCTGAGTAGCTGGGACCACAGGCACGTGCCGCCACCCCGGCCAATTTTTTTGTATTTTTAGTAGAGGCGGGGTTGCACAGTGTTAGCCAGGATGGTCTCGATCTCCTGACCTCATGATCTGCCCACCTTGGCCTCCCAAAGTTCTGGAATTACAGGTGTGAGCCACTGTGCCTGGCCAGTCTTGGTCTTTAAGGTGCTCATAATAGACTACAGCAGTCCTTATTTCATATCTGTGATTTTTTCAAGATTATTATCATTATTATTATGTTTTTGAGATGGAGTCTCACTTTGTTGCCTAGGCTGGAGTGCAGTGGTGTGATCTTGGCTCACTGCCACCTCTGCCTTCCGGATTCAAGCAATTCTCCCTGCGTCGGTCTCCCAAGTAGTTGGGATTACAGATGCTTGCTACCATGACCGGCCAATTTTTGTATTTCTAGTAGAGACAGGGTTTCACCATGTTGGCCAGACTTGTCTTGAGCTCCTGAGCTCAGGTAATCCACCTGCCTTGGCCTCCTACAGTGCTGAGATTACAGGCATGAGCCCCTGTACCTGGCTGACAATTTTCAAAGAAAATGTTTTTATTCATTTATATACTTGGTCCATTTAACAAACTATCAAGTGTCTTTTAGAGAGTAAGCTTTTTTTCCATGTTACAAAATAAAAACATTTAAAAATACAGTTGGACTATGTGTGGTGGCTCAGGCCTGTAATCCCAGCACTTTGGGAGCCCGAAGAAGGTGAATCACCTGAGGTCAGGGGTTCGAGACCAGCCTTGCCAACATGGCAAAACCCTGTCTCTACTAAAAATATAAAAATTAGTCAGGTATGGTGGTACATGCCTCTAATGCCAGCTACTTGGGAAGCCGAGGCAGGAGAATTGCATGAATACTAGAGATGGAGATTGCAGTGAGCTGAGATTGCACCACTGCATTCCAGCCTGGGCAACAGAGAGAGACTCCATCTCAAAAAAAAATACAGTCAGGGCTGGGCATGGTATCTCATACCTATAATCCCAGCACTTTGGGAGGCTGAAGCAAAAGGATTGCTTGAGCCTAAGAGTTTGAGACCAGCCTGGGCAACATAGTGAGACCTCAACTCTACTAAAAATAAAAATAAATGAAAAAGTTAGCTGGGCATGGTAGCATGCAACTGTAGTCCCAGTGACTTGGAGGCTGCACTGCAGCCTGGGCAATGGAGTAAGACCATTTCAACAAACAAACAAAAAACAGGAGCTTGTTACGATCATTTTCATTTATGTTATGTGCTACTTCATTCAGTGCCTTCTACTGTGTGCTAGATGCCATCTGGAAGCATCTAATGATCATTTATTATGTTAAATATGTGCCAGACACTTTAAGCATGTGGTGAGGAATGAAAGCTATTAAAAAGTGGGGTAGGATTTCAGGTAAGCATGCAGAAGGGGTAGACCTTTTCTTGATAAAGAGGCAGAAGGATGATGTGGGCAGAAGGAACATCTAACAAGTTTGTGTTTTTGGCAGAAGGAACATCAAACAAGATGGCATGTTTGGGAGAAGGAGCAGCAGGTGCAAAAGGTAAAAGGCTTGAGTGAACTTTGCAGGGTTTATGAGTGGCCCTGTTTTGCTGTTGCAGAAACTGAAATGAGAGTGGTTGGGAATGAGGGAAAAACTTAGGTAAGGCAAGCTCCTGATGGGCTTTTTAATACTATAAAACTGAGTAGATCTTACCTGTAGGCTATGGGAAATTTACCCGGTGGAGTGCTTTGGGCTGCAAATACCAAAGGACCTGATTAACAGTGACTAAAACAGTAGGAAGCAGAGTTGCTTTGGTGGCCGGTTCAGTGATAACACTGGGTCCCATTTGGTCTTCCTATTTCAGCTGTGCTGTTGGCAGTGTTTTGTTCATTCCTCCTTTCATGGCTGGCTAATTAGCAGTAGCTCCTAACATCATGTTCTCACAATACAATTTCTGAAGGCTGGAAGGGCTGCTTTTCTTTCCATGTTTCTTTGAAATAGAGAGAAAAGTCAGAAGCTTGCAGTGAGCTTTCTTTCACATTTTATTGGCTTGGTTACACCACATGCTTATTCCTAAACCAGGCACTGGGAAAACATATGCAATTACTGTGATTAGATTAGAATAGTCATTTCTCTTGTTGAGGATGGGGAGCGATATTAGGATGGTAAATACTCAAATAGACTTGTGGTTCTCCAGCAAGAAAAAAATAAATGGTCATTAGGTAGGGAGACAGCAAATGTTTTCTGTAGGAATTCATTATAGAATTGTGAGAACAAAAGTCACAAGATTAGATTTGGGTATTAGGACATTCTGATTATGGTATTCATAAGCTTTTTACGTAAAGGATCAGGTGGGAAATATTTTAGGCCACGTGGTCTCTGCCATATCTACTCAACCCTGCCATTGTAGTGTAAAAGCAGTTACAAAACTTTATTTACAAAACCATTAGGTAGGCTGGGCTTGGCCTGTGGCCTGTAGTGGATGACTCCTCATATGGAGGCTAGATGGAAGGTACCACATAAAGAGACTGGAAGACAAAGGAAGCTTTTGCAGTAGCCAAAGCTATAACTTCCTTGTCGCCAACCCTTAGACTAGCATCAATCCATTATGAGGTTTTCACCCAGCCATGGTGAAATAAGTGATGTCAGAAAGCTACTTAGTAATTTTAAAATGTTTGTTTTTCTCTTGATTTTTGCATTTTTCATTTGTTTTGCTTGTTTTTTTAATTTAAGAAATAATATTAATAGTTGGTAGCCTATAAAAGCTAGTAGTTAAGAACCAGTGGCAGTGGAAAAATATAAAGCAGAGGCAGAAAAGAGATAGAGATAATATGAGTTAGTGATTATTGAATGTATAAATTTAGGGCACAGAGAGAAATCTGTGAGATTTCAGATGATTCATGGGTTTCCAGGTTGTGAACTAGCATTTAACCTGGACATGAGGAAGGAGTAGGAGATTTGCAGGTGAATGGAGAAGAACAACAGATCAGCAGGAAGGACTAACCTCTTTCTGTGCATGTTGAGTTGAATGAAATATTCATGTAGGGTATTTTCAGTAGGTAATTGAATTTTAGGCATTTCTAGCTGGAGGTAGAAGTGAGGTTGGAGATGCAGACTTGGAATAATGTAGGCAAAATCATACATCTAAATGAGCTTCTCCATGGCGGGAAAGACATGGAATAAACAGAAGGCAGTGACAAGAACTTGGGAATATCAACATTTCCCAGAGGAAAAGAAGTTAGTAAAGAAGCCTGAGCAGTGGCTAGAGAAAAGTAGGAGAGTTTATCAGAGGAAGGGATGCTGTAAAAATTTCAAAAATATGAGAATTTCAAGGAGGGAGAATATAAATTCTTACAAGTAAGAGTACTAAAAAGTAAGTTAAATTAATATTTTCAAAGCTCTTTGATGGTACCCTCTTCAAAAGAACACTTTTGGAGTTGTAAGGTCTACTATTTAGGTACATGGTACTTCTGGTGTTCAAGTATGAGAGGAAGAATACACCTATCAAAATCCTACCTAGTATTTTTATAACTGCGGCAGCTACCTACACAGAGTCAGGCCTAGACTGGTGAGTTCCTGTGCCAACATTTTCCAAGAATTGTCAGAACCTAAGGGTCCACATGAGGAAAAGTGTAGTGTCTCTTACTGGTTTTTGTGGAAATGCTTGTTTTGTATTCAAACCCTTGATAAGCAGTTCTGGATGTATTCCCAAACAAAAATCTGACAGCAAAAACTGGGATACTCATTTCCTTTCTCTGACATGGAATCAAAATGCAGCCATGGCTGGGTGCAGTGGCTCACGCCTGTAATCCCCAGCACTTAGGGAGGCCGAAGCAGGTGGATCCCAAGGTCAAGAGATCGAGACCTTCCTGGCTAACATGGTGAAACCCCATTTCTACTAAAAGTTATCTTGGTGTGGTTTCACATGACTGTAGTCTCAGCTCCTCAGGAGGCTGAGGCAGGAGACTCACTTGAACCGGGTAGGTGGTGGTTGCAGTGAGCCCAGATTGCACCACTGTACTCCAGCCTGGGCAACAGAGTGAGAATCCATCTCAAAAAAAAAAAAAAAAAAAAAAAAAGCCATGTTTTGACAAAATTTTAAGTTTTGATCAGAAATAGTTTACAGATCAGCAGTTTGGAGAAACTGATATCTTTAAAATATTTTCTTGCAGACCACTAATATCACAGAAAAATATGACATGATATGCTGTACATAGTAGTTCTTCTTCTGTGAAGAAGGTCATTGGTAGCTTGATGGGGATAGTGTTGAATCCATAAATTACTTTGGGCAGTATGGCCATTTTCACTCTATTGATTCTTCCTAACCATGAGCATGGAATGTTTCTCCATCTGTTTGTGTCCTCTCTTATTTCGTTGTAGTTCTCCTTGAAGAGGTCCTTTACATCCTTTGTTAGTTGTATTCTTAGGTATTTTATTCTCTTTGTAGCAATTGTGAATGGCAGTTTGTTCTTGATTTGGCTTTCTTTAAGTCAAATTGATGTATAGGAATGCTTGTGATTTTTGCACATTGATTTTGTAACCTGAGACTTTGCTGAAGTTGCTTATCAGTTTCAGGAGATTTTGGGCTGAGATGATAGGGTCTTATAAATATACAATCATGACGTCTGCAAATAGAGACAATTTGACTTCTTCCTTTCCTAATTGAATACCCTTTATTTCTTTTTCTTGCCTGATTGCTCTGGCTAGAACTTCTAATACTATATTGAATAGGAATCCTTATCTAGTCACAGATTTCAAAGGGAATGCTTCCAGTTTTTGTCCATTCAGTATGATATTGGCTGTTGGTTTGTCATAAATAGCTTTTATTATTTTGAAATGCATTCCGTCAATACCTAGTTTATTGAGAGTTATTAGCATAAAGAGCTGTTGAATTTTGTCAAAGGCCATCTCTGCGTCTATTAAAATAATCATGTGGTTTTTGTCCTTGGTTCTGTTTATGTGGTGAATTACGTCTATAGACTTGCGTATGTTGAGCCAGCCTTGCATCCCCAGGATGAAGCCTGCTTGATTGTGATGGATAAGCTTTTTGATGCACTGTTGCAATCAGTTTGTCAGTGTTTTATTGAAGATTTTTGCATCTATGTTTATCATGAATATTGGCTTGAAGTTCTCTTTTCTTGTTGGGTCTCTGCCGGGTTTTGGTATCAGGATGATGTTGGTCTCATAAAATGATATGGGGAGGATTCCCTCTTTTTGGATCGTTTGGAATAGTTTCAGAAGGAGTGGTACCAGCTCCTCTTTGTATGTCTGGTAGAAATCAGCTGTGAACCTGTCTGGACCTGGGCTTTTTTTGGTTGGTAAGCTATTAATTTCTGCCTCAACTTAAGCCCTTCTTATTGGTCTATTTAGGGTTTTGACTTCTTCCTGGTTTAGGCTTGGGAGGAGGCAAGTGTCCAAGAATTTATCCATTTCTTCTGTATTTAATGGTTTATGTGCATAGAGTTGTTTGTAGTAATCTCTAATGGTAGTTTGTATTTCTATGGAATCAGTGGTGATATCCCCTTTATTGTTTTTTATTGCATCTATTTGCTTCTTCTCTTTTTTCTTTTTTATTAGTCTAGCTAGTGGTCTATTTTGTTGATCTTTTCAAAAAACCAGCTCCTGGATTTATTGATTTTTTTGAAGGGTTTTTTGTATCTCTCTATGTCTTTCAGTTTTGCTCTAATCTTAGTTATTTCTTGTCTTCTATTAGCTTTTGAATTTTTTTGATCTTGCTCCTCTAGCTCTTTCAATTTTGACAATTGGGTGTCAATTTTAGACCTTTCCTCACTTCTCATGCAGGTATTTAGTGCTATAAATTTTCTTCTAGTCTCTGCCTTAAATGTGTTCCAGAGATTCCGGTACATTGTGTCTTTGTTCTCTTTTGTTTCAAAAAACATCTTTATTTCTACCTTCATTTCATTGTTTATCCAGTCATCATTCATGAGCAGGTTGTTCAGCTTCCATGTAGTTGTGCAGTTTTGAGTGCGTTTCTTAATCCTGAGTTCTAATTTGATTGCACTGTGGTCTGAGAGACTGTTATGATTTCCATTCTTTTGCATTTGCTGAGGAGTGATTTACTTCTAATTATGTGGTCAATTTTAGAGTAAGTGCGATGTGGTGCTGAGAAGAATGTGTATGTTCTGTGGATTTGGGGTGGAGAGTTCTGTAGATGTCTATTAGGTCTGCTTGGTCCAGATCTGCATTCAAGTCCTGGATATCCTTGTTAACTTTCTGTCTCATTGATCTGTCTAATATTGACAGTGGAGTGTTAAAGTCTCCCACCATTATTGTGTGGTAGTCTAAGTCTCCTTGTAGGACGTTAAGAACTTGCTTTATGTATCTGGGTACTCCTGTATTGGGTGCATATATATTTAAGACAGCTCTTCTTGTTACATTGATCCTTTTACCATTATGTAATATCCTTCTTTGTCTCTTTTGATCTTTGTTGGTTTAAAGTCTACTTTGTCAGAGACTAGGATTACAACCCCTGCTTATTTTCGCTTTCCATTTGCTTGGTAAATCTTCTTCCATCCCTTTATTTTGAGTTTATGTAAGTCTTTGCACACTAAATGGGTCACCTGAATACAGCACACTGATGGGTCGTGACTTTTTATCCAGTTTGCCAGCCTGTGTCTTTTGATTGGGGTATTTAGCCCATTTACATTCAAGGTTAATATTGTTATGTGTGAATTTGATCCTGTCAATTTGATACTAGCTGGTAGTTTTGCCTGTTAGTTGATACAGTTTCTTCATTGTGTCAATGGTCTTGACCATTTGCTACATTTTTGCAGTGGCTGGTACTGGTTAATCCTTTCCATGTTTACTGCTTCCTTCAGGAGTTCTTGTAAGGCAGGTCTGGTGCTGATGAAATCTCTCAGCAATTGCTTGTCTGTAAAGAATTTTATTTCTCCTTCACTTATGAAGCTTAGTTTGACTGGATATGAAATTCTGGGTTGGAAGTTCTTTTCTGTAAGGTTGTTGAATATAGGCCCCCACTCTCTTCTGGCTTGTAGTGTTTCTGCTGAGAGACCCACTGTGAGTTTGATCAGCTTCCCTTTGTGGTTAACCCGACCTTTCTCTCTGGCTACCCTTAGCATTTTTTCCTTCATTTCAACCCTGGTGAATCTGATGATTATGTGCCTTAGGGTTGCTCTTCTTGAGGAATATGTTTGTGGTGTTCTCTGTATTCCCTGGATTTGAGTGTTGGCCTGTCTTACTAGGTTGGGGAAGTTCTCCTGGATAGTATCCTGAAGAGTGTCTTCCAGCTTGGATTCATTCTCCTCATCACATTCAAGTGTGCAGATCAAATGCAGATTATGACTTTTCACATAATCCCATATTTCTTGGAGTCTTTGTTCATTTCAGACTGGCAAACTATTAAAGAAGTGATCTCTCAGTGGTTCTTTCCCTGGGAGGTAAAATTGTAGGTAAATTTGAACCTTATTTGTGTCATACATAGGGCAGAGAAATTCACTAGAACTAAGTAAATTTAACTGGCCTCTTCCTTAAAAGAGGATTAGTGACAGTGATTACATTTTAATATTTCTCTTGAACTCTTCTCCATTGGCTGGAATGTGATTTGCTGAATCTTTGACTTGCAGAAAGTGATTTGCAAGAATCTTTGTTTCTGGTCGATTTTCTGTTTTGCTGTAAAACATAGTATGGTGCCCATAGACCTAGCTTCCTTGTGATAAAGCATTTTATTCTAAACTAAATAATTTTAACTGAAGAGTTGGAGAAGTTATGTTGTATGATAACAAAATAAGTACAGTTGTCTCCCTTTATCCATGGGGAATATGTTCCAGGACCTGTGGTGAATACCTGAGTGTTTGCATACTACCCATCCCTATATATGCAATGTTTTTTCTATACATACATATGTGTGATAAAGTTTAATGTGAGATTTAGGCACAGTCTGAGCTTAACAACAATAACTAATAATAAAATAGGACAGTGATAACAATATACTGTCATAGGATAATACCAACTATCTCGGCCTGTGGCATGGTGGTAAAAGGATTTAAGGCAGATTCATTACAGAAGGCATGAAAATATGTTGCAAGAAGGCAATGGGCAGCCTGGAAGAAAAACACCTACTTCCAGGAAACAAAAACTTGCTGGAAATTTTATAGGATTGTCCTTAGGCTGACTGATAATGCCAAAATAGCAGGGAGCTAACTTGAATTCTAATGTCTGCTGTGGGGTTTGATACATTGAAGTGTTTGATGGTAAGCAGGAAGTTTGTGACTTATATACATTATCTGTGCTGGAATGTTGTATGTCCTGGGCCATAAAGAAAAGGAGACCTATAACTTATTTGGTTCCTCTTTTTAAAAATAATTTCTGAACCATGAAGAAAGGAAGACATAGCTAATTTGCCTTATCTCTGCTTTCTTCTGGCCCTGCCAGCCTGACTCTTTTTTTTTTCTAATTAGAACTTCACATATGCTATAATAAAAGTTTATGTGTGTGTGTGTGTGTGTATTCTTTCAAAATATCTTCTTGTACTCCACTTACGCTTCTTCTTATGAAGATGATACAAAGCCTCTGCAATGAGTTGAAGTGAGGTGAATGATATAGGCATTGTGATGTAGTCTTAGGCTACTATTAACCTTCAGAAGGAGGATCATCTGCTTCTGGTAATCCTGGATTACTGAGCCTTGATGATGTTGTTGGTTGGATATCAGGAGGAGATGAAGTCAGTGACTAATGTGCACATAGCATATGCGGCATAGATACACTAGACAAAGGGATGATTCATGTCCCGGGTGGGATGGAGTGGGATGGCTGGAGAATCTATCATGCTACTCAAAACAACACACAATATAAAACTTATGAATTGCTTATTGCTGGAATTTTCCATTTAACATCTGGACCATGGGTGATGTATTAGTTTGTTCTCACACTGCTAATAAAGACATACCCAAGAATGGGTAACTTATAAAGGAAAAAGATTTAATTGACTAACTGTTCCACTGTGGAAGGCTCAGGAAACTTGCAATCATGGTGAAAGGGGAAGCAAACACTTCCTTTTTCACATGGTAAGAGCAAGAAGAAGTACAGAGCAAAAGGTAGAAAAAGCAGGTTATGAAACCATCAGCTCTTGTGAGAACTCACTCACTCTCATGAGAACAGCATGATAATTGAATCATCCCCACCATGATTCAATTACCTCTCTCAGAGTCCCTCCCATGACACATTCGGATTATGGGAACTACAATTCAAGATAAGATTTGGGTGGGGACATAGCCAAACTATCAGGTGACCATGGGTGACTAAAACCACAGAAAGCAAAACCACAGATGTGATACTATGAAATATATATTTGATCTTTGAACCCTTTTCTCGGCAAACAACTCCTGAAATCCTTAGAATCTCCAAAGTGGTGTCTCTTTGTATGTGAATGATTCATTATGGCTGGCAGCCCCTAATGAGCTTCAGGATGCGGGCTTGTCACCAGAAAGACCAAGGCATGATGAGAGGGTTAGAACTTTCAGCCTCACCCTCCAACCCTTTAATCTCATGGGAAAAGGTGGGGGGACAAAGTTTAAGTCGATCACCAATGATGAATGATTTAATCAGTCATGGCTATGTAGTAAAATTTTTATAAAAACCCAAAAGGACTGCATTCTGAGAGTTTCCAGATAGCTGAATATGTGGAGGTTCCTGGAGGATGGTGTACCCTTGGAGGGTCTGAAACTTTGCACTTCTCCTATGCCTCGCCCTATGTAATTATTTATCTGTATCCTTTTTTTCATTCTTAAAATAACCAAGAAATGTAAGTAAGTGGTTCCCTGAGTTCTGTGAACTACTCTAGCAAATTAATCAAACCTAAAGTGGGAATTGTGAGAACCTTGAAGATGGTTGGTCAGGAGTTCTGAAGGCCCAGGCTTGTGTCTGGTGTGGGGATGGGGGAGCCTTGGGGACTGAGCCTTCTACTGTGGGATCTGACACTATTTCCAGCTAGACAACATGGGAATGGAATTAGAGGTCACCCAGCTGATGTCTACTGCAGAAATGATTGCTTGCTTGTTGGTAGTGACCCTCAACATTTGGTCTTCTGTGTTGGTGGTGGTTGTGGTGTGAGCGCAGAGGAAAAATATGTTGAGTGTGTTTTTGCACACCTATCATGGATAAGGGAGCCTTACTGTATATTCTATTCTAAGTGCTACTAATTCATTAGTTCAGAAAGTATGCTGTTGAAGTTTGACTCTGTTTGCTAGTAATGCTAGTCAGTCTGATAGGGTTTGGTTAGGATTATGATTATTGTACACAGCAATTCACTTGTAGGTTTCACATTTTGCCAAATCCCATTCTCTTTTGCATTTGACTGATACAAAGGAGGAGAAGTAAGAATTCTTAATGTAGTAATTGCCTACCAATAGTATAATTAATATTAATTCTCAAAGTATGGTCCTAAAGGAATACTTTGTGGGAAAAAAAAAAAAGATCTAAAGCATGCTTGAAAGTATACATGATTTCTTTTAATGAAGGCAGAGTCTCACTATGCTTCCCAGGCTGGTCTCAAACTCCTGAGCTCCTCAAGTGATTCTCTGGCCTCAGCCTCCTGAGTAGTTGGGATTACACACATACATAACTGGGCCCTCTTATCAAGACTTTAAATATTCTGTGTTTTTCCATTGTTGACTTAAAATGTATTCTTTTTTCTTTAATAGTGGATGAGATTCCTGAAAATCCTGTAAAAAGGTAGGACTTAAAGATTTTAAAAGTATATGTTACCTAAGGCAATTTAGAGAAAAGAAACTAACATCTGTTGAGTGTTGTATTCTGGAGTAGACACTATTTTACGTGCTTATCTCATCTCATATAGTTATCACAGCAATTTTGAAAGGTTCTCTGTTATTATAACCTACTTTTTCCTAGTTAGCCAACTGTGGTTAGAGAGGTTGATTAATTGTCCCATGTCCCCATAGTTAACAAGTAGCTGATTATGATTTGACTGGCAGCCTGCCTCACTCCCAAATCCCTTCTCTTGCCCCTCTGCATAGATTGGCAGAGACCTGTATAGCACTAGAATCAAGGGATAGGTCCAGACCAGATCAATTCAGAAAGTCAAATTTAGTTAACTCTGATTTATAGTTTTTCTTAGAAGCCTTGTTAGTCTAAGAGTTTTTTCTAGTATATTTCAGTGGCAATTTCAGTGGTAATCAGTATCTTGTTTTTGCCATCAAATATTTTAGGGCAGATCTCACTCAGCTATAGCCACAAGAGCATAGGTTTAACATAAACAAGACCAGCCACTTTCTAAAGAGGAAATATTTTTTTCTAAGTGAAGGATATTTGTGTTACATTTACTTATCATATTAGTTATATTTAGCATATAAATAGAGGCTATTTATAATTGATTTCTCTACTTATTGACTCCCTAGTTTAGTTTTCCTTTTAGGACACTATCCTGCCTAATTCCATGTGCTTTTTTAAGAGTATTTTTTCTTTTTCCATGACTTTTCAATAATTTTTTTCTTTAGTTGTTAACTTTCTTCTCTGTGTAGTGTTGATTTTGTTCTATTATTTTTTCCATTCCTGGCAGCTAAGTATTTCCCATTTTTATATAGATATAATCAAAAGCACACACAATTTCAGGATTTTAAGGGATCTTAGTGACTAATCACAATACTCTCTAGTACTTCAACCTGTGTTTAACATTCTGGTTATATGGTTGTTCAGATGGAGATCTGCAACTAAAAGAGATTAAGGTGACTTATTTGTATACAGGAAGTGGCAGAAATGAGATTTGAACTCATTTCAAAGCCTGTTACTCTTCCTTCTTTACCGTCAGTTGGTGAGTGTTTTAATAATAGAAAGGGAAAGTGGGTCTAGTGAACACAGTGGATGAGCCTAGGAAGGGAATTAGCTGGGAACCCAATGGAAGAGAAGAATTAAGTTAGTAGGGGAAGGTCAAGTTTGAGGAGAAATAACACTGGGCTAGATAGGAATAAGGGTTTTAGAAAAGAGAACTGAATATTGGGGTTTATGGCAAGTTTCATAAAGATAAATTATAGTAATGAAGAAGACAGGATGTTGGGAGTTATCTAGAAATGCATATTTATGTAGGTGGTTCAAAGGAGTCCTGAATAGGTTGCTGCTGTTTTGTTTGTTTAGAGTGACTGACCAACTTCAAAGTTTCTATTGAAAGATGTTAAAAGAATTTGAGCTATTGGGAAGAGTCTCTATAGCAGATTGAATTGTAGTATTATCTACTTCCACCCCACCTTATAGAGGGGTGGCTCAGAGTCCCTCCAGTACCAGAGGACTGAAGTTTCCTGAACTATATAGATCTGTGCACCAGAACACGTATTCTCTAACCTCTGCCTCTTTTCCCAATTCACTGATTGTCCTTCCCATTACCAGGTAGGGTAGGGCTGGGGTAGGATTGTCTGACAAATCAGTCATGTACCTTCAGTTTGGTAGTTGGTAACATGCCTATGCTGGGGGAAGATGACTGAAATTCCATTTAGCTTTCTTTCTAGCAGCAGTAAAATTGAGAGCTCTGACTCTTGGTCATTTGAGTCCACTCTTTTAGTAATGTGTGCTTTTATTGGCTGAAGATATACAGGTAGGAGACTGCCATAGAGCCTTGCAGAAGAGGGATCTGGAAGTGGGAGCCCATAGAAAGAAAGATATTTAGCTAGTACTTAGGGAAATAGAGATACAACTACGAAGACTCTGTTTTTCCAGAAGTTTCTCTCCTTTGGTATCTGACTGTCTATGGAGGTTTTTAAGAGCTTAGTACTTTATGTGGCCCTGAATATGACAGAGTCTATCTAGGGAAAATAATTAGATTTTATAATTAAGTTTTAATATTTCTGGGAAGAGTATTTTTAATAACAATATATACATTTGTCCTTTGAAATCCATACATTTAACTTTCAAGTATTTTAGAAGTTTGAGGGAAGATTCTGCACTGTTTTACAAAAAAGGGAAGCAATGGGGGCCTGCTTAAGTGGTTTCCAAGCAGAAGAATCAGGACTGCCATTTTTAAGTGACACAGATTAGTCTTTGAACCAGAAATAGATCATGGAGAAGGGACAGTGGACCTTTTAACCTTATTTTAGGTTATCGGGTTTCTTCCAGTTCAGGTAACAAAGGTTATGTCAGCCATTACTTGGATTTTAAGTTCTGCCTCCAGGACATAGAATTTGTGAAGCCCAATTCTTCTCAGGCTCTACCAATATATTGGCTGTCATGATTTGTTATGGAACTGTGGGTGAGTCTTCATGGACCGTTCCATAACTTGGGAGAGGAGGAAGTAGAAATAGGTAATTAAGATCTTTTCCATAACAGAGGCCAAATTATAATTATATTGAGACATTATTTAAATACAGATAGTTGACTTTTCACTAGATTTGCTTTTTTGTTTGTTTGTTTTGTTTTGGGAGGGCACCCAGGTATGAAACTGCAAATTGCTTAAAGAAATGAACACACTCATTTTTGTTGTATATTTTTATTCTAAAGGCTTTGCAACAAACCATCTATTGATCACTCACAATCTACGTCAGCTAATGAAGACTCTGATTTTGATACTGAGGTAAAGAGGTCTCTTGCAAAATTAATTTTCTCATTCTGGATCTAATTTTCTATAACATTTACTCTTAAAATTTAGTAGTAATCTACCTACAATCATTTTATGTTCGTTATGGAAAGTTCATCAGAGAAACACGGTTTTACAGAAACATGACTAAACATTTTTGAACATTTTTTACTTTGATAAATAACTAAGACTTGGTAAATATGTAGAGGGAGTGGGAGTGAAAAAAGAATGGGCTGGAAAATACATAGTGACAGGAAAATTGTATTAAGCAAAGCTTTCTCATAACAGAGCAAATTTTAAATTTGGTCAATGTTGATTTGAATAAACATTCTTATCGTGCATAACTTTTAAGTTATACTAAGATGGATTTTTAATATTTATGCTGAAATAAACCTTTAATGGATCTGATTACTTATTATAGTAATCATGGAATCTCCTTGATGCCTTTTTGTTCAAAAACTGTACAACAGATAGCATATACTTTTCTTTCTTAAACACATTATTTTAGTATTATATAAATAGTTTTTAGGGGTGAGTTTTTTCCTATTTCTATATTTGGTTATGTAACTAGACTAAAATAATATTAGCAATCGTGAAAATTTAGCTGGGTATGGTGGTGCATGCCTGCAGTCCAAGCTACTCAGGAGGCCGAGGTGGCAGAATTGCTTGAGCCCAGGAGTCTGACCCCAGCCTGGGCAACTTAGCAGGAACCTGCCTCTGATTTTAAAAAGATCGTGAAAATGTAGAAATTTAAATTTTCTTTCTCAAAATCTGTATTCCAATAAGATTCCACTGTCATTTCTATGTCATTTCATTAAGAATATATTTAAAACTCTTCCCAATTGAAGAATAGTTGTTTTGTCCAAATAACAAGTTCTAGAAGCAGAGACTCTTAATAACTATATAGTGTGATTTAATTTCAGAATTATTTATGTTGTAGTTCTTAAAAATATCCAGATAAAATCCTTACATCACATACTAAGATTTCAAATTTCAGAAGTTTTTGTATTTATTAAATAATCATTTTAAAACTCCTTTATTACTATGAGCTACTGGAGGTTAGGGAACTTTTTTTTTGTATCCTGGAGTACCACAAATGAACAGACAAATGCGTTTCTATATAATGGGATGTTAGCAGTAATATAATATGCCTAACATATCTAATAATTAAATCCATTCATTTATAAGATATGGCCTAAATGTATATTCCCTTTTATATTTAGGATGTATAAGCTCAGATGTGTTATGCTGAGAAAATGTGTCATAAATAAGAAGAAAATAAATTAGAAATGTATCAACAATAGGAAAGAGGGTTAAAGTGTTAATATATTTTCTAGTGTCTTCCAGCTGTAAGCATAAATTAAGATTTTAGATTTAAAGTATTTAAACTTTTTAAAAGCCCAACCCATATTCTACTAAATATATCTTTTCAATCCATATATTACTGTTTAGAATTCTGATTAGTATTTTCTTTCCAAGTGGAATGTTGATGGAATATTTCTTTTTCCATTTTTCTTTCTCTGAAGTAATAATGTTCTAGCTTTTAGGAAGTGGTAGACGACTATGTTTAACAAGCTGAATGTCTTGTTTTACAGTATGGAATTCAATTCTGTGTCACAGAAATGTTTGCCAGAAACTATTATAAATGCTAAGCAGTATTATTCAAAATACAGCATGAACCAAAGTTTCTGTTATACATCTATGTTTCTCCATGTACCTTACTGCGTGTGATGTTTTTCTTTCTCTTCCTTGGCTTTGGCTTTTTTTCTTGGCTTTCTTTCAAGTTCATACTTGATTGACTGGTCAAGTTACATCTTTTTGTTTGTTTGTTTCTTTCTCCCTCCTCCCTAGTCTTTTAAAAATGATTTATCTCAACCTATGTTTTTCCTCATAGAACACATTCTCTACAGCATCTCTTCTTTCAATCCATGTGTGCATGTATGTCTTCACTGAAGCATACTTAGTGTAGCTTTCTACTTAGTAACTATGTGAGGTGTTTATTGACCTATCATTGACCTACAAGATTTATTCTTTTTTTCTCTGTTTCTTGGAAAGAGGTGAATTTATACATCATTTGTCCTTAGCTTTATGAGAAACAGAATAGAAACACAGTAAAGAATTAGAAAGCAACCCACTACTGCAGCTTAAGAAATGTGAAGCTGAAGAGGGGGATGAAGGAAATTTATTTATTTATTTTAAAATTATTATTATACTTTACATTCTGGGGTATATGTGCAGAACATGCAGATTTGTTACATAGGTATACATGTGCCATGGTGGTTTGTTGCATCCATCACCCCGTCATCTACATTAGGTATTTCTCCCAATGCTATCCCTCCGCTAGGCCCCACCACCTCTCTCCTATCCCTTCCCTAGCCCCCCACTCCCCAACAGACCCCAGTGTGTGATGTTTCCCTTCCTGTGTCCATGTGTTCTCACTGTTCAATACCCGTTTATGAGTGAGAACATGCGGTGTTAGGTTTTCTGTTCTTGTGTCAGTTTGCTGAGAATGATGGTTTCTAGCTTCATCCATGTCCCTGCAAAGGACATGAACTCATCCTTTTTATGGTATTCCATGGGTATATATGCCACATTTTCTTTATCCAGTCTATCATTGATGGACATTTGGGTTGGTTCCAAGTATTTTCTATTGTGAACAGTGCTGCAATAAACATACGTGTCCATGTGTCTTTATAGCAGAATGATTTATAAGCCTTTGGGTATATACCCAGTAATGGGATTGCTGGGTCAAATGGTAGTTCTAGTTCTAGATCTTTGAGGAATTGCTACATTGTCTTCTACCATGGGTGAATGTGAACTGATTTACACTCCCACTAACAGTGTAAAAGCATCCTATTTCTCCACATCCTCTCCAGCATCTGTTGTCTCCTGATTTTTTAATGATCACTATTCTAACTGGCATGAGAAGGGGAAGAATTTATTCAAGAGAGGCAAGATAAATGTAAAGATTGAGTAAAGTCGAGTCAGATTATTATAAAAACACATCATAAACTAGAATTTAATGAGAGCAGGAACTCTTTACATTATAAAATATAATAGAAATTATTTTAAATGTAAATTAAGAAAAGAAAGTTAGATAATAAAAAAATTGCTGAGATTCAGCTATAATATATTATAGCTGATTTTTATGAAGAACTGAAAGAAAATTTAAGGGTGCTATACTTAACATTAATCTACTGTACATTTAAAAGAAAAAATTACTAAGGTGATTTGATTATATGAATGTATCAAATGATCACATTTACTTAAAAAATATGTACATCTATTATGTATCAGTTTTTAAAAAAGAAATTTTTATCCTCACATCTTTGAATTTAGCAAAGTTATGTCTTATATTTTATCTAGTAGGACCTGTGTTTATAAAAATGCACAGTGAAACCTGTTTTCAGATTTATTATGAATTTTTTTTCTTTTTAAAGTCAAGCCTGTGAGTGCATATTATGAATTCTTAATTTTTGACTCTTGCTTCTTGTTTAACTTTTCTAACTTAGTGTTTGGCATATCCATGACTTAACTAATTTATCTGATTCTTTCATATAATCTTGATAGCTGTTTTAGATGTTTCTAAGAATAAAGAAAGAAAAGAAATAAATATATTACATTTAATCTTTTCATTAGTTAACATTTCTGGTTATATAAAGGGGGTTCTTAATTTTATCCATTCAATGAGAAAATAAATTTCAAGGTACAATTCTCTTAAAGAAATAAATTCAGGGAAGAAGATGGAGGAATAGAAAGCTCTACTGTTCCCTCCCCCGCCCCCGCCACAAGGATACCAAGTCAACAAGTATCTACGTAGAAAAAAAATACCTTCATTCATAAGAACCAAAAGTAAGGTGAACACTCACAGTACCTACTTTTAACTTCATATCACTGAAAGAGGCACTGAAGAGACTTTTTAAAGTCCTGAATGGCTGGCATCACCCCTCCCCCATTCCCAGCAGTCTGACATAGTGTGGAGAGTCTCTCTGGGTGCTGGGGGAGGGAGAACACAGCAAACGTGAGGCAGTGAACTCAGTGCTGTTCTGTTAGAGAAAAAAGGAAAATTAGACCAAATTCAGCTGATGTCCAATTATGGAGGGAGCATTTAAACCAGCCCTAGGAGGAGGAAAATCACCAGGCCCAGAGGTCTGAACTTGAGTGCCTGAAACCTTGCAACTGATGGCTACAGTACTCTGTGTATCCAAGTACACTCAAAAGACAGTCTAGGTCATAAGGACTGCAACTCATAGGTGAGTCCTAGTGCCGAATTAGGCCAAGAGATAACAAACTGAATGGGGGGGATATGCCACATTGAGACATCAGCTGGGGTAGCCAAAGGAGTGTTGGCATCAACACTCCCCTAACCTCAGGCTGCACAGCTCACAGTTCCAAAAGGCCCCTTTCTTCTGCTTGAGGAAAGAATGAGGAGGACTTTTACATCTAAGATACCAGCTGAGCCACAGCAGCAAGATAGGGCACTGGTCAGAGTTGTGAGGCCCCCCCATTCCAGGCCCTGGCACTCTGATGACATTTCTGGACATACCCTGGGCCAAAAGGGAACCTGCTGCCTTGAAGGAAAGAACTCAGTCCTGGACTGGCAGCACTCCTCACCTGCTAACTGAAGGGCTCTTAGGCCTTTAATAACCAACAGTGACATCCAGGTCAAAGGCCTTGGGTGAGCCTCTGTGACTTGCTGACCTCAGGTAAAATAGCACATAACCAGCTATGGTGGCAATGGGGCAAAATCTTAGCAGAAGGGAAAATAAAGGGGACTTTGTCTTGTACCTTAGGTATCAGCATGGCCATGGGGTTGGGGGGCAGGGGTAAAGCACCAAGTAGGCTCTTGAAGGTCCCTGATTCTAAGATTTGACTCTTGGATGGCATTTTTGGACATGCTTGGTCCAGAGGGGAGCCCACGCCCCTGAAAGCTGAGTCGCAGGCCAGGCAGCATTTATGACAAGCTGATTTGAGAGACTTTGGGCCTTAGGAGAACA